ATCCATCCACCCATCTGTCCATCATCTCTCTCCCCCTCCATCCACCCATCTTTTTTTGATGTATTTTGAGGCTCATGAATGTGAGCCTGGGTCGAATGACACTCTTTTCCCTCCTCCTTCTCCCTGACAGTAATAGACCTTGCTGTCCGCACATGTACACTCACACACACACCCCTACATGCGAAACCCATATACACACACCGCATACGATTCTCCCATGTTCTCTGATTCAAGCATGTCCTCTCCTTACTGACATGAACTCGCATATAGAAATATCACACATAACCACCTGTGCGCGCGCACACACACACACACACACACACACACACAGTGCCTCCATGTGCATTGTGGCAGACTTTGGTATCTGTGAGGGAAGCATCCAGAGACTTTTCAGACCTGTAACCCTCGGAGAGTCCCTTACCTCTGGCCAGTGTCAGGGGGTCCCCAGTAGCTCCTCGCCCGGAATGTCCTGCTTTTCTGCTTTCCCCCCAGTCTTGTCCCTTACCTTCCAGCCACATCCCATGAAGAAGACCTCCCACAAAGCCTCCTTCTTCAGTGTTGCCAAATTTGGGTACAAAGCCACCAGACTGTCGCTCCAGGAGGGCATGGACTGTGTTGACCACACCACATGCCCTGACCTGTTACGCAGCAGGCCCCCTGGTCAATTGGAAAAGGAACAACAGTGGCAGAACAGTGCATCTCCGGGCAAACTCAGGGGCATCTGTGTCACACATACTCACTGCCAGGCACATACAACACATTCTACCTGCATCCACACCCTCTAGACTCACAGGTACACTGTGTGTGTGGGTGTGTGAATACACACTGTGTCTCACACCTGTCTGCTTGTCTTCTCATTATCCAGATGGAGTTACTTCCAGCACCCGAGCCCTTTTCTAAAGCCTTGGTCATTGAAGGCTTGGTCATTGAAGACCACTGTGAGCACATTTGCTGGAATGTGAGGTCCAGGTGTGGCCCCATGACCATGTGCTCCTGAGCTTGGCCCCAAGCATATGTGTGGCACAAGTTAAGAGTACCAGTTCTGGAGTCTGACAAAACCTGGATTCCATCCTTGCTCTGCATGTAATCACTGTGCATGTTTCACATATGACTTATGTGAGTGTTACTTCTTGGAGCATCGATTTCCTTATCTGTTAAATGGGAAAATAGTTCCCATCTTTAAAGCGTCTTATAGGAGATACCCTTAGTGGGGTGCCTGGTATGTTGTAAGCACTTAAAAATGGTTGCTGTGTATATTTTTATTGCCGTTACTTCAATCTTTGCCTCAAACTCCCAAGCACCCGTTGGGAGGGAGGGCAGTCTTGACAGGGGGCTGTGTGTGAGGACAGTAGGTGGATGGTGTCTCGTTAATGCCTCTCCCCAGATCCTAAGCCCTCATTACTTACATGAATATTCATAAGGGATAGCTTCAGCCTTCCTCTGTAAATGGGTCAGAAGCAGGAAGTGGAGGCCAGTGCAGAGAGCGAAGGCAAGGGGACAGGAGGCTCAAAGCCAGAGTGCATCTGAGTCCCCATGGACGGGAGGATGGTGAGAGAGATGGAAAGGATGGTTGGGAGGATACTAGGGGGCACCAGGGCTTGATCAGGGGATTATGCCCATGTTGCACATTTGAAAACTGAGCCCCAGTGAGATCAGATAAGAGAACTCTTGGGGTGAGTGGCCCAAGAAGCCAGAGCCTGCTTCCTTGGGATCTGGAGAGTTTAGTATCTGTCTCGGCTGGGTGATGGGCACAGGGGGATGGACCAAATGATCACTGCAGTTTTCTCTCAATGGACATAGTTTACATGGCATTATATGGTTGGAAGAGCTGTGGTGATCTTGAATCCCAACCCTCCAGTGAGCCTCCAACAGAATGGGTGATTTGCCAGAATCACACAGCTGCTGACTCCAATCTTGCCCTTGGTGGGGTGGGTGGGTTGGTCAGGATACCGAGGAATGAAGCCTCTTTATCCACCTCCTCACTAGTCCCCTGAGATAACTGCAGCAGAAACAATTATCTCCATTTTACAGATGAGAAGGATGAGGCTGACAGAGGAGGAGGCACCAGGACAAAGCAACACAGTGAGTTTATTGCACGGGGTGGGGAGGGGTCTGCGCCTCTGTGCAGGGCAACGCAGGGATGTCAGAGCCCAGTTTGCCTCCCTTGTGGGTAGGGTCAGGGCACGGCCTCTGTTTTTCCTGTTCTGCAAAGTTTCAATCTAAAAAAAGTCAGAAGGGTCTGTCTCTCTACACTTGCAAGCATATTAATCTCTCCCTCTTTTCAGATGACTGCCTATTTCTTAAAATGCTTTCCAGACACTCACAACTGTTCTATGAAGTTAAGCAGGATAATCACGCCCAATTCAGAGAAGTGATCTCCAACACAGCAGAGGGTATGAGAGGTGATGACAGAACGCGGGTGTCAGGTATTGCTTGCTGAGGTCTTGGGCGATTTCTTTTATATTTATTTATTGTTGGCTGTGCTGGGTCTTTGGTGCTGTGCTAGCTTTTCTCTAGTTGCAGTCAGCCAAGGCTACTCTTTGTGGCAGTGAGCAGGATTTTCTTTGAGGTGGCTTCTCTTGTTGCAGTTCCCAGGCTCTAGAGCACAGACTCAATAGTTACGGTGCCCGGGCTTCGTTGCTCCGAGGTCTGTGGGATCTTCTCAGATCAGGGATTGAACCCGTGTCTCCTGCATTGGCAGGCGGATTCTTTAGCACTGAGCCACCAGGGAAGGCCTTCCTTTTCTTTTTTTTAGAGAATATTTTTATTTACTTATTTGGCTGTGCTGAGTCTTAGTTGCAGCTTGTGGGATCTTTTCTTTGTGGCATGCAGGATTTTTAGCTGCAGCTTGTAGGATCTAGTTCCCCAACTAGGGATCAAACCAGTGCCCCCTGCATTGGGAGCACGGAATCTTAGCCACTGGACCACTGGCAATTTTCTACTAGACCGGGTCTTGGAAAGGGAGGGATTGAGGGATGGAAAATTTGACCCTTGGGGCATAAGTGTCAAAAGGAGATGACCCTGGGGTGGATGGCCATGAGGAGGATTCACTTCAGACTGCTGAGTGGCAGAATGAAGACACTGGGCTTGTGGGAAACATTCAGAATGAGTTCATTCATTTGGGGCCCTTTCACTTCCTTACTGTGCCAGGCCTGTGCTGTGACCAGGTCAGGGGAGGGACCCACCAGAGGTGAATCAAACAGTCCTTGGGTGGCTCAAAGTCACTTAAGGGTCTCAGACTAGGGCTGAAGACATGATTGGACAGAAAGAGGCACACTGGGTATTGTCACATCTGCAGTAGGCAGATGGGTGTCAGGGACAGGCCTTGGGTTCTGAGATTGGGGCCAGACTGGGTGGTCTTCTAGCGCTGCCCTTCTGAGCTGTGTGGCTTTGAGTAGCAATAGTAGCAACCACAATAGTCACAGTTGATTTTTATTAGGTGCTCAGTTTACATCTCACATGTCACTTTACTTCTTTGAACCTATTTCCTCATCTGTAAAATGCAATGAAGTGGGAGTTAATCTATTTCTCAGGGTTACTGGAGGGCTTGAATGGGACCGTGTAGGTGGGAGAGTTTAGGGCTTCCAGGTGGCTCAGTGGTAAGATTCCGCCTGCTGATGCAGGAGCCGCAGGAAACACGGGTTCGATCCCTGGGTCTGGAACATCCCCTGGAGGAGGAAATGGCAACCCACTCCAGTATTCTTGCCGGGATAATCCCATGGACAGAGGAGCTGGCGGGCTATAGTCCATAGGGTCACAAAGAGTCAGACAAGACTGAGCACGCAACACGCAGGTGGAAGAGTTTGTCATGAGTAACTGTGTGGTAACTTTAGTTATTTGTGAGGCCACAGAGGAGTCCCATGTTTTAGAGATGTAGGAGGCTAGTTATCCCTACTGGGGCCAGGTAGTGTTTTCAGGGCGGTGGCTGCCCTCTTCACCAAGAAGATACGGGATAGGACCAAGAGTTTGAAGGGTTGAGAGGAGGATAAAAAGGACTTTTCAGGTGGAGGGTAGCCTGTGAGCAAAAGTGTGGAGGAGGGAAAGTGTAGGGTATGTTTGTAACACAATGAATGGCTCAGGCTGGCGCCCGGTGAGTCATCAAGGATGCAGGCAGGCCCAGATCTCTGACCCTGGGGCTAGCTTCGAGGCACACAGATTTCCTCCCTAACATTATCCCATCTGTGGTTGGGTGAGGAGAGAGGGCTGGAGGGTGAAGCGAGTGTAATTACAGAACCCTATTTCTGGGTTTCTCCCACCTCTCTGCGGGATGGTCTGGCAGGAATGGGACCTACTCATCCCTTTGAGCTCCTGAGCTGGGGGCCAGGTTTGGGCGTTACTGGGGAGTGATGAATCACCAAGTGCAGGGGGCTCTGGGGAGCACGTGGCCCAAGCCAGGAGTCAGTAGAGCTCGAAGAACAGGTGGATGGAGGGGAGGACAGATGAAAGAGTGCGAGGCTGCGTCCTAGAAGCGGGGGCGGGGAGCGCACACCTGGCTCTTTGAGGAAGGTATCCTCATTTCACAGACGGGGAAAATGAAGCTCAGAGAGGGGAAGTGACTTGTCCATTTCTTTGTCCAATCATGCAACACTTCGGTATTGGGCAGAGGCTCTATGCCAAACGCCGAGGAGTCCCGTGTGACCAACTCTTGGGGTAGGGAGAAGTGTTGTTGAGGTCTTGTTTGCGGCCTCGCCGGGAATCGAACCCAGGTGTCCCAATTTCCAAACCATCACTTTGGATCCGGACGTGAGTCCAGCTGTGCGGCTTGCGCGGCAGCTGGAACCCCCGGTACCCCCACTTTCCTTACGGTCCCGCCCAGCGCACCTGCCCCAGGTGAGTCCCGGGAGGCCCCGAACACCGCCGGAAAGCGGCGAGCGGTTTCGGCAGGTGGGGCGGAGCCGGGCCAGGGCGGGGCCGAGGGGCGGGGCCAGCCCCGGGCGCCTGGAGCCGGACCGGAGCCGGCGCCCCTCGGCCCGCGCCCCGCGCCCCGCGCCGCCGCAAACATGGGGGCCTGCCTGGGCGCCTGCTCCCTGCTCAGCTGCGTGAGTCCTGACCCCGGTGCCCGCTCGCGCCGCCTGCCCCTTCTTCGGGCTCGCACTTTTGTCCTATCTTCTTCCTCCAAATAGTTTCTTCTTTTTCCTTCCTCCAAACTTGTCTTTCTGGGCCCGCACCCCGCCTCCTCGCTCCTCGGGTACCCCGGCTCATCGAGTCCCCCCACCCCCACCCCGGGCCCGCGGGCCTCGGAGACGGCTGGTGTCCGGCGATCAGGTCACCGCGGGGGAAGGGGTGGGGCGCCCCGGGGCGGGGGGAAGGGAGTGCCCTGGGCGGGCGCCCCTCCAGGGAACTGGGGAGACTGAGGCCCAGAGCCCGGGGCGGGGATGGGCGCTGCAGCCCCAGCTAGCCCAACTAGGAGCCGTCCTGGCCGTGCGCCTCTCGCCTGCCTCCCCGACGCTCTCTTTATGTGCCTGCAGGTCCCTGCCCCTCTCCGCCGGTGTCCTCTGTCTGTGTGTCAGTCAGGCTGTCTGTCCCTGCCCGTCTGCCTCGTTTGTCCCTTTGTATGTGTCTGATATCTATCCGTTCGTTCGCCCGACCGTCTTTGTCCGTCCGAAGCCTCTTAACATCTGTCATTGTCTGTCTTTACGGTTCCGAGTCTGTCTGCCCGCCAGGGTCTGTCTGCCCGTCCGGTCTGTTAGTCTCTCTGTGCCTTGTCCCTGCTTTTCAGTCTGGCTCAGGCCAGACTCCTGGGCACTTTTCCAGTGAACCCCAGACCTTTCCCTCCTAGGCCCCAGGGCCCAAGTGGGGGCTGGGGAGGAAGACCCTCTCTGCCTTTCTAAGCCGATCTTGAGCGAGCTTGAGTCCGTCTTGCGGGGTACCGCCAACACCGGCCCGACTCTGGGTGCGGACACCCAGGAACCGAGGGAGGTGGGGTCTGGGGGGAGGGACTACCTGGTCATCTGCTCGGGGACCTGGGGAGCAGCCAGCCTGGGTTGGCGCTGCTGCCGGCAGAGGGGAGGAGCGTCAGCCAGACCCCGGCGGGGAGGCCCCTTCTCCTTTTCCCAGCCCCCTTTCCTTTCCCTCTTCCCTTCATTAAATCTGGGTTCATTCAGGCAGCCCCCTCCCCCTCTGCCCTACACAAAGAGGAGCCAGAGGAAGGGGGAGGGGGTTCTGGTGGCTGCTGAATCCCAGACTTAACTTTCCTTTGTCCCCGATGTGTGTGAATGATAGGATGGGGTGTAGGGGCCCACAGCTGGGGATCTAGAGAGATGTACTTTACAGCTATTTTCTGAGAAGGGTGTCTGCACCGAGAGGCCATAGACGGGGTCCCTGGACCCTTGTCCCCTCTGGGCCTCCATGTCCCCACATGTGAGGGTGTGTGTGTGTGTGTGTGTGTGTGTGTGTGTGTGTGTGTGTGTGCAGGAGCTGATTCCTGAGATCTCTTCCTGCCCTTGTCCCCTCTGGGCCTCCATGTCCCCATATGTGAGGGTGTGTGTGTGTGTGTGTGTGTGTGTGTGTGTGTGCAGGAGCTGATTCCTGAGATCTCTTCCTGCCCGGTGACACCAAGTTTTGGCTTGGAGCTCTGGCCAGAAAGGGTTTGCTTCCTGGTTGGGGAGGGAGAGTTTCCTTGGAGTTGACTAGAATTCCTTCTGGCTGGGCTAGCCTGGGGGTGGGGGAGGTTGTTGAAAGGAGACCTGCCATTTCCTGGTACCTCTGTTTCTCCATCTGCCTCCCTCAAGATTTAAAAGTGCCCCACCTTGTTCTTGGCATATAGTAAGCTCTCCAAGCAGGAGCTATTGTTATTATCACTTTTAAAAGGTGGGTGGAGAATTCCCTCTGGAACCAATTGCTGGACTCCGAGTCAGGCTCCTGCAATGCTGAATCAGAAGGCACCAGACAGGCCTGCGCCAACCCATGGGTTATAGATGAGGAAGCTGCAGCCTAGAGAGGTTAGCCGACTTGCTTAAGGTTTGCACAGCGAAAGGAGGAAGATCTGCACAGTCAGGATTAATATCTGATCCCTAGTCTAGGCTTCTGCCCACATCTTCCCTCCCTTCATATTCTGGGTGCTGAGGGGCAGGGTTGGCCCAGAGTAGAATTGGGAGGTTCGGGAGGTTGCAGATATCTAATGTCTGCAAGGGACCTGCCCCTCCTGTTAAGAGCCTCCCCTTGGCATTCTGACCTCTGATGTTTACCGGGTACTTACTGCATGCCAAGTGCTGTGCTGAGCCCTTCACCTGTGCCATCTGATTACCCACCCACCCCACCCCCCACCATGACAGAGTTAACTTATTTTGCAAATTGTGATACTGATGATAGCCACCATTGACTGGGTCCTTACTGTAGGCCCGGAACTCAGAGCCCAGCAGTGTAGTGAGCATTTTGTATATATCCTTTCATTTAGTCCTCACAGCGACCCCAGTGAGGAAGTTAATATTATTCACAGCTGAGAAAGCTGGATTCAGAGAGGGAAGACAATTTCCCCACAGCCACACAGTATTAAGTGGTGCTGTTGGGCGCTATTGGGTAACCAGTAGCAATGTTTCAATGGACACTTGCCTGAGAGGACTGAAGTTCTAATGAGGGAGTTGCCAGGCATCTTTAGGGGGAACATTTTGGCATACGTGGCTCCCCTTGGTCAGATGCAAATCTGTCACAGCAAGTAGGGAATGCAAGTGGCTGTCTCTTTTATTAAAAAAAAAAAAGTTTTATTTATTTATCTATTTTTGGCTCTGCTGGGTCTTCATTGCTGTGTGGACTTTTCTCTAGTTGCAGAGAGCGAGGCTACTCTCTGGTCACCGTGTGAGGGCTTCTGATCGTGGTGGCTTCTCTTGTTGTAGAGCTTGGGTTCTAGGCAAGCGGGCTTCAGTAGTTGGAGCTCAGTAGTTGCAGCTCACGGGCTCTTGAGCACTGGCTCAGTAGTTTTGGCACGCGGGCTTCGTTGCTCCGTGGCATGTGGAATCTTCTCCGACCAGGAATCAAACCCGGGTCCCCTTCATTGGCAGGTGGATTCTTATCCACTGCACAACCAGGGAAGTCCACAAGTGGCTCTCTTGGTTACTGTTTGTGCTGGACTGAAGGTGAGTCCTGGCCAGGAGGAGATAAGATAGACCCACTAGGGATGGGAGTCACCAAGCAGGTCAGCACAGGGCGAGTTGGACAGTCAGCAGATACTTAGGGATGGTCTTCTACAGGCGAGGGAGTGTGAAAGGTGTTCGCATCAGACAGATTGGTCTGGGTCCTGGCTTGGTCTGGTCTCAGCTGCGTGACTGAGAACCTCTCCCTTGTCTGAAAAGTGGAGAGAACTGTGGTACCACCTCTCAGCATGTCGGGAGGGTTCTGTGGGACTTAGCCTGAAGCTGGCGTGCAACGGCTGCTCTGTAAGCTCCCGCCAGTGGTAAAGCACTGGATACCACATTTGAGGAAGTGGGGAAGCTGCTAAAACCCATGGCTGTCTGATGGGCTCCAAGCCGCTTCACTGCCCTGCCTGGAAGCCCATTTTATAGCTGAGGAAACTGAGTCCCACAGGGGTGAAAAGAGACTTGTCTAAGGTCATCCTGCCAGCTGGCGGCAGGGACACGACAGGGCCCTTTCCTCTTCACACTGCGTCGGGGAAAGAAGTGTGCTTGAAGTAGTCTTGGGCTGCCCTCTTGGGTGGCTCAGCCAGTTCAGGGGTGCCACGGAAACTTTCAGCTTATTAGACGCTCAGGCCCAGGGTTTCCTGAGTTCTGAGTTCTCCTTTCTGAGAATCTGGCTGGTGCTATGAGTCTACTAGTCTAAGTTCTGGTGCTTTTCCATTGCTGCCTTTCCCCTGCGTGCATCTGGGGAGGGGTGTGTTGTAATCTGAGTGTAGGAATGGTGTAATAGTCTACCTTGGCCTTTCACTTTGCATCCCAAGCATAGCCTGTGTTGCTGTCAATCTAGGGATTTTCATCTTTCCTGTTTCTGTACCATTCCATGGGGTTAGTAGTCACCACTGTCCGCTGGTGTGGGGCAAAGAGGTCATTTGCAGTTTCTTAATATTCTGATAAACTCATGCAACTTAAAGCTTTGTGCCTATTTTAGTTTTTTCTCTTAATTTAAAGTTTTTCTTTTTTAATAATAAAATCAACCTTATTGGGATATAATTTACATTTAACTATATTTAGTTTCCCAGGGACGGCAGAGCCTGGTGGGCTGCCGTCTATGGGGTTGCACAGAGTCGGACATGACTGAGGTGACTTAGCAGCAGCAGCAGTTTCGTATACCTATTTAAGTGTTACCAACACATCTGCTTCATTCAGCAGAAAGATCCCTCTTAAGGGAGTACCATGGTGCAGTGATGGGCATTTAGTTAATTTCAGCTTTCCCCTATTGTTTTCCTCATGTGAACAGTGTCACTGTGCGTGTGGGTGTGTCTGCTTTTACTCCATGGGCTGGTATTTGTGTAGGAAGAAGTTGTGGTTGGAGTGATCCCCAGAGGTGGGGAGTGGAGATTAGGATATATAAACAACTGCAAGGATGCTCCAGAAGCAGCCAGGGTGGGAGGAAGGGGCTGTGTGTATTTCTGTCTCCCAGACCTGGTCTCTCTGGTTACCAGCCAGGTCTTTGGAAACCTGAGATTTCAGGTATCAGAAATACCTGGATTTTGATCTCTAAGAACCGAGTAAATTGAAAGGCCACACTCCCTGACTGCAGTGTGGCAGCTTTTCTTGTGTCTCAAATGTCTCAGATGGAAATGGTAACAAGCCAGAGCCGGGCCTTGAGCTGGGTACTTGGGTACTTGGTTCCTGAGATCAGTGCCTGTTGTTGGTCAGCTGCTCAGTAATGTCTGACTCTTTGTGACCCTATGGACTGCAGCACACCAGGCTTCCCTGTCTTTCACCATCTCCCAGAGCTTGCTCAAATTCATGTCCATCAAGTCGGTGATGCCATCCAGCCATGACATCCTCTGTTGTCCCTTCTCTTCCTGCCTTCAATCTTTCCCAGCATCAGGGTCTTTTCCAATGAGTTGGCTCTTTGCATCAGGTGGCTAAAGTATTGGAGCTTCAGCTTCAGTGTCAGTCCTTCCAATGAACATTCAGGACTGATTTCCTTTAGGAGTGACTGGTGGGATCTCCTTGCGGTGCAAGGGACTCCGAAGTCTTCCCCAACACCACAGTTCAAAAGCATCAATTCTTCAGCACTCAGCCTTCTTTATGGTCCAACTTTCACATCCGTACATTATTACTAGAAAAACCATAGCTTTGACTATATGGACCTTTGTTGGCAAAGTTATGTCTCTGCTTTTTAACCCCATGAACAGTGCCTGTTGGCCTCCCTTGGTTTTCTTGGGCACTGGAGGGATTGTTTTCATCACTGGGGTGTTTTGAAATTAAACGATACTGCCATCCATGACTTAGCAGACCCTGGTGCAGACAGACTTGATCTCAAATCCCAGCTCCTCAGCTTACTTGCGACGTGACCTTGGCTGTGTCATCTCCCTAAGTTTCAGTTTCCCATTTGTAAATGGGGGTTACAGCATATTTCATAGTGTCAGTGAGGCTTAATCTAGACAAAGTGCTCACCAGTGTCTGGGACAGAGTAGCTCATCATAAAGGGAAGCCATCACTATTCTTACTGCCATCCACTTGCTGTGTGATTTCTGGCAAGTCTATTAACCTCTCTGATCTCAGAATGCTCTTTAAGGTTTATAAAACACTATTTCTGGCATTTGCTTATTTTCTCACCCCCCCCCCCCCCCAGCCCCCAACCCAAGTAGCCATGGATAGGAGTCAGGGCTCTGGGCAGCGTTTGCAAGATACAACCCGAAATTGATGGATGGGTGGATTGTTATGATTTGGACCCTGAGGGAGATTTCCATTCTGCAGGCATTTTATTTAGCATCCATGCTGTGCTTGGCTTTGTGGATGAGAGAGATAGGTTACAAGGAGCATTCCCAGGGGCCTTTCCAGTCTAAGGGGAGAGGAGGGAGGAGTCAGGAAGGCAGCTGCACCACAAGCAGAGTGTGCGTTACCCCTGTGACCAGCCCAGAAAGCAGGGGACAGGGTCTCAGAGGGTCAAGGGACCCTTTCAGCCTCTCTCTGCAAAGGTGGTCACTCAGTAGAAGGCTGTTCTGGTCCCTCTCCACTTTGGGAGGTGGTGCCCAATGGCCATGGAGGCCCGTTGCTCACAGGAAGAACACCAGGGTCCTGTACGTGGCTGCCAGGCCCCACCAGCCTGGCCCACCTTACCACCCACTTGCTCTTGCAGCTTTGGCCACAAGGCCTTCTTTTCTTCCTCCAACACTCAGCTCCTGCCCACCCCAGGGCCCCTGCAGGCTCTCTTCCTTTTGTCTGGAACACTTTCTTCGTCTTGGCCAGGAGAGCGAGGCCTCACTCTTCAGCTCAGCTTAAATGGCATCCCTTCAGGGCAGTAACTCGCCACCTCCCATCTAAACGAGGCCCCCGTCGGTCACTCTCATGGCAGCACTTACCATGACAGGTGTAAGAATGTGGTGAGTCTCTTTCCTGCCCTCAAACACTCCAGGAGGGTGGAACCTGTGTCTCTTGCCCTCCTAACTCTCACATACCTGAGTGAGGAGTCAGAGCTGTTTAGAGGAAGAGAAACAGTGACCCACAGACATCTGGATGTGGGCCCGTTTCCTCCAAGGCTGGGCTGTGGAACTGGCTTCTGTGGGGTGAGGCTACAGCTACGAATGGAGTGGCATCACCAGCCCCTAAGCGATTTCAGCCAACCCCCGGAAGGGAGGGGCTGACGGAGGGCAGAGGCGCCTGAGACAGAAGGGGTCGGACGCCTCTGCTGTCCAAACTGCTGCAGCACCAGGCCGGGAAGCCCACCCTCTCATATTCTTCATTCTGTTCATTCAGCAGATGTTGAGTGATCAGCGCCTGCTGTTTCTTGAGGTCTTAACATATGTCTGGTACCATGCCAGACACTTTACACTCGTTCAACAGATAGTCCCTGAACTCCCGATGATGTGTCAGGCCTGCTTCCCATTTCTGGCACCTCCACGGTGAACAAACGGACAAACCCCCCTGCCCTGGTGGAGCTCACACGTTAACAATGAGAGGCAGGCACCGTGAGTCAACTGTGAAGCCAGTCAGGTGGTTGTCTAAGTCCTGTGGAGAAAAATAAAGCAGGCAAGGAGGACAGGGAGCCTGAGGGAGGTAAAATTTAAAATCCTGATTTTATTCTTAAGACTGCCATGTGAGAACCAGGTACCCTTCTGATTTCCATTTTATGAAAGGGGAAACTGAGGTTAAGAGAGGGTAAGTGAACTGTGTAAGGTTACATGGCTAGCTAGTGACAGGATTGGCCTTTTAGATTTTCTTTTTCCACTCTGCTTCATCTGAAATAAGAAACAGTGTGACCTCAGCTCTCTCTCTGGGAAGCCACAGTAACCCCTGAGGATAGATCCAGGTTTGAATCTGCATTCTGTTGCTTGCTGGCTGTGTGTCCTTGGGCAAGCTAGCCTCTTCCAGCCTTGGTCTCCTTGGCCTCTCCCTTGGGCTTGAGAGTTAAATGGTGTGACATCTGGGGAATAGGTATCCCTCCGTAGCATGGCACGGGAGGGCTCTACATAGGTTTGGAGATACTGACCAGGCTGCAGGCAGTGGGCCCCAGGAGGATGCCGCGTGCTCGGGCGGGGAAGAGGAGAGGAGGCAGAGAGTAAGGGGCCAACCCCGCCCTCCCCGCAGGCGTCCTGCCTCTGTGGCTCTGCCCCCTGCATCCTCTGCAGCTGCTGCCCCTGTAGCCACAACTCCACGCTGAGCCGCCTCTTCTTCACGGTCTTCCTCTTCCTTGGGGTGCTGGTGTGTGTCATCATGCTGAGTCCTGGCGTGGAGAGCCAGCTCTACAAGGTGAGCCGCCTGCGGGACCTGGCCTCTGGTGAAGGCTCAGCTACCAGAGGGCCCAGCTGATCAAGAGGCGGGCAGGACAGGGAGGGTTTGGAGCGAATCACAAATGGAAACCAGTGGACCACTGAGGATGAAACCCTCTCCGTGTTCCCCAAAGCCCACCTCCCGCTTAGCACCATTTGCACATCCCACCCCCTCCCTGGCACCATCCGTGGCTGTTAGCCCGTCTGCCCATAAAGGAACACGACTACCTTGTCAATTACTAGGGAACCTGGAGACACGCTTTAGCCAGACGCCCTGTTTTCAGGAAACACCAGTTTGATGTTTGGTGGAACATGTTAACCTTGAGCCCATGGTGCACCTGCTTATAAACAAGCCGAAAAGTTAAAAAAAAAAAAAAAGAGAGATGGGCAGGAGTGTCCAGCACACTGATGATCCAAGCTTGACATCAGGGGGGTTGTTTCTTCACATTGGGAGGAGGGTTTGATCCTCCTCATTTCTCATAAGCCATGGTCCCCTTGGGGAGTCTCATGAATCATTATTGCTCCCGCTCCAGACAGTGGCCCAGGGCAGTCTCTTCCCACTTCGATGCCTAAGACCAGTTTTGAGGGTCTTGTCTTTCCTTCATCTCAGTGTTTCATAGTCCGTGGCACAAGGAGGCCAGAGGTTCTGACACGCTAGTGTGCACAGAGGCATGAATCCCCTGGGGAGTGTGCTAGAAATGCAGAATCTCAGACTCTGCCTCAGAGACTCTAGTTCCGTAGGAGAGGGGACCTCAGCGGATTCTGATGTAGCTGGTGGGTGGAGAGCGCTTTGGAAAATCCTGCCTTGGACAGTGTGCTGTAGTCCTGGGGTTGTGAGATGATAGTAGGGAAATTAACAAGATCTAACTGGACGTCTGTCCCTGGGGGGCTCACTCACAGGACTTGAGGCAGAGGTGGGTGGGAATGGAGATGGGTGGTGGATGGAGGTGGGAGGCACAGACTACCGTCCAGCCCAGGCCTCCTGGGAGAACCTCTTGGCTGGCGGGGGGAGGCCTGGGCAGAGTCACCCTGGGTTCGGGGTGGGGTGGGGTGTTCCAGCTGCCCTGTCTGTCTTCACAGCTGCCCTGGGTGTGTAACGAGGGGACCGGATCCCATGTCGTCTTGCAGGGCCACATCGACTGTGGCTCCCTGCTTGGCCACCGCGCCGTCTACCGCATGTGCTTCGCTATGGCGGCCTTCTTCTTCCTTTTCTCTTTGCTCATGGTCTGCGTGCGCAGCAGTCGAGACCCCAGGGCTGCCATCCAGAACGGGTGAGGAGGGGCCCTACCCGAGGCCCTCCCGCAGTGGATTTCCCCATCCTCTGCCTGTCTCCAGCATCTCCAGACCCTACCTTCAGACTCAGGAGCTGCGGAAGCCAGGAGGACGCAGCTCAGAGATCAGTTCATTGAGCAGTACCCACTTCTCAGATGAGGAAATAAAGCCCAGGAAAGACAACAGCATGCCTATGGTCACACAGCAATTTAGTGGCACAGTTGGGGCTAGAACCTGGGTGGCCATCCTCACCCCTAATTGGTCCTTCCCTCTGCCCCTTGGGACTTTTTTTAAGGCCAGGACAGACTCTCTGTGCCCATCAGACCATTGGAAAGTCCCTGCCATCTCTCCCAGTACCTGTTCTGTGGGGGTGGGATTCTGGGGGGCCAGCTTTTCCTCTCCCCCTACTCAGCTCTCTAGTCTGACCTACCCATTTCCCCACCATAGGTTTTGGTTCTTTAAGTTCCTGATTTTTGTGGGCATCACCGTGGGCGCCTTCTACATTCCTGACGGCTCCTTCTCTAACAGTAGGTGGCCTTGGTGGGGGGGATGGGGGCTACCAAGAGGAACAAACACTGATGGGTGCTGCTGTTTGCACCCGGGAGACAGGTCTCTGCTGCTTGGCCACGTGGCCTCTGGGGGTTAAGGAGACCTGCCTTGATACCCAACACGTACCCTGCCACAAGGCATCTCTGTGTGTGGCCTGGGGCTCCCTGAAGGAGGGGACATCAATACAGGATGTGGCATGAATGACTGTTGAATGTATGAAAGTGAGTGTGAGAAGAGACCGTGGAGGGTGCCTGCCCCAGGCTGCTTCCCCACGGCTGGACCCACTTCTTCCCTCCCCTCTCCCCACCCAGTCTGGTTCTACTTCGGTGTCGTGGGCTCCTTCATCTTCCTCCTCATCCAGCTGCTGCTGCTCATCGACTTTGCGCACTCCTGGAACCAGCGGTGGCTGTGCAAGGCCGAGGAGTGTGACTCCCGCGCCTGGTACGCAGGTCAGTGCTACCCTGTGGCCTCGTGCAGGGGCCGGGCTAACTGAGGAGGGGGGTCCCTGACGGACGGCGGCCCGGAGGGCATCTCAGGCTGCCTCCTGCCTTAGCACCAGAACTGAGCCGTCCGTGGCAGATGGAGAGAAGGGTATGTGTGGGCAGGGCGGTTGAGGTGGGTCAGCCCCCTGGAGGGGCCCGGCAGAGCAGGTCCTGCAGAATTGACCATACCCAGCCAGACCAAACTTCAAATGACCCCTGGTTATTGAATCCCCAGTAGCAGAATGGGTCCCTTTTCAGACTGATTTTCTGAATCAGTCAAGGAGAAAGGCTCACCACTTGGGATTGGCTTGGTTGTCACACCTCCCTGATCACCATACATCTGGTTCACTCTTTGAAAGACTGTTCTCTATTCATTGTCTTTATATTTATGGTGAGCTTATTTGCGGCACGTGAATCATTTTAGTTCAGGGTGGGGCGGGAGCTCACAAAGGCTGGGTGCGGACGGAAGTTTGGCAGACACTTCTTGGAGGAGGAAGCTGGGGCCCGAGACCAGATGACTGCCCGATGAGGGATGGGGGTCCTTGTGCATCCAGACCCACCTGCGGCTGCCCCTCCCTCCCAGGCCTCTTCTTCTTCACCCTCCTCTTCTACGCGCTGTCGATCACGGCCGTGGCGCTGCTGTTCGTCTATTACACCCAGCCCGGTGCCTGCTATGAGGGCAAGGTTTTCATTGGCCTCAACCTCACCCTTTGTGTCTGCGTCTCCATAGTTGCTGTTCTGCCCAAGATCCAGGTGAGAGCCCTGCCTGTCTCTGCCCAACCTGAAACCAGGCCCCTCGGTGTGTGGGACTCCTTGTAGGAAACTTGGGGGCTGGGGGCCAGGTCTTTCCATCTCTCTCTCTCCCAGAGGCTTGGGCCAAGAGTGTGGGCTCCCAGGTCAGCCTCCCTGGGTTAGAGTCTCAGCTCTTGCATTTACATGCTGGCTGTCTTTGGGAAAATGCCTTAACCTCCCCGTGCCTCTCTCATCTCAGATGTTAAATGGGGACAATAACACTTTTTGGAGTTATTCTCAAGATGGAGACCATGTTTGTGAACACAGAACAGTGCCTGGCCTATTGATATCCATCAGACGTTGGCTATTGTTTTCATTATTCCAATGTTATCAGTTTTTATGCAAATCAGGAGAATATTAAGAAAGGTCACTTAAGTGACGATTCCTAGACACCTCAAGAAGTGGTGTTAGAAGGTGCAGTTCCACAGTTTCCAGTCCCAGACTATCTGGGATAATGGGTGGGGGCTGCCAAGGCAGTCTTTTGTTCTTCAGAAAGGAGGCCTTCTGAGTCCAGTGGTATTTCATCTTGGGATATCAACCCATCAGTGGTTTTAGAGGTAGCTTAGATAGTCTTTGAGGGTCCTCAGCAGAAAGGTTGGGACCCTTCCTTTGGGCCAGAGCTTCCTTTTGCCAGCAAGAAATTAGAAGCCCAGAGAGGGTGATGCCTTTGTTCCAGGTCATGCAGCAATCAGTATTCATTCAGCACATACCTCTTGGGATCCACTGTGTGCCAGGCACTCTTCTAGATGTTGGGGATACAGTAAGAGGAGGAATAATAATAGCTGACAGTTAACAGCATCCATTATGTCATTTAGTCCTTGCACCATCACCATCCCCACTTTCCAGATGAGGAAACAGAGGCTTAAAGGAAGGGTACCTTGCCTAAGGTCACATGGCTAGTAAGGGGTGGAGCTGGGATTTGAACCCAGGCAGATAGGCTCCAGAGCCTGTGCTCTTAATCATAGAGTTCAGATTCATATTTTCAAGTATGTGTGGTGGGAACTGGGAAAGAACAAGCCAGGTGAGGAAATGAAGCTAGGTGAGATAACTTTGGGTAGTAAGTGCTATGTAAAAAAATAAATAGAATGTGGGCTGAAAGGGAGGTGGGCCTGCAGTCAGGGTTTTCAGGGCCTTCTGGGGGGTCCTGTTTAAGCAGAAGCTTAAATCCTAAAGAAGGGCTGCCCGTGCAGAGATATGAGGGAGGAACATGTTGGGAAGAGGGCATGGTGAGTGCAAAGGCCCTGAGGTTGGAGAGGACGTGGCAGAGGCTGAGACAGAGAGGTGGCCACCGTGGCTGAGGAGTAGTCGGCAGGGAGGAGGTGGCGGGGACAGGGCGGGGGGAGTGGGTGGTCAGGTGAGGATGAAGGTGGGGTAGAGGGAGGAGAGCTTTAACTCAAGTGTGAAGAGATGCCGCCCTTGAAGGGTTTTCTCGGCGGGGGAACGAGTCGGGTCATCTGTTAAGAGAAAAAATTAGGGCTTAACCTTTGGGTGGGCAAGGTTGGGCAGTGGGTGGCCCAGATGGTATGTTCTCCCAAAGGGTATGGGGTGGGATGGCCCCAGGTGGTGGGGGTTTCTGAGGCCCCCCTGGTTGGGTGTGAGTGGGCTAGGTGGGAGTGGGGTGGGGTGTACCAGGTTCGGCAGGAGTCACACTGATGGACCGCTCTCGCCAGGATGCCCAGCCCAACTCGGGTCTGCTGCAGGCCTCGGTCATCACGCTCTACACCATGTTTGTCACCTGGCTGGCCTTATCCAATGTCCCTGGTGAGTAGAGGCCTGGGTTCCGGGAGGCCTGGTCTTCTTCCTAGGCTGGGGACCTTCAAAGATGTCAGGGACACCCCAGCCTCTGCCCATTCCAAGACTCAGTCCTTCTGGGAGGTGGGGGGACCCTATCTGTTCCCGGCGCTGCCTCTGTTGTTTTGTCTAAGTGCTATCGCTGGGACTTGGATGGTTGGTTGTGTGTCTGTCTGTCCATCTGAGCCCATCCTCTGGGCTCCCTGGCTGCTCAGACCTGGCCTGCGGTGGGCTGAGGGTGACAGTGCTCCCACCCCCAGACCAGAAATGCAACCCTCACCTGCTGACCCACTTTGGCAACGGGACGGTCCTGGCAGGCCCCGAGGGCTATGAGACCCACTGGTGGGACGCGCCGAGCATCGTGGGTCTCGTCGTCTTCATCCTGTGCACCGTCTTCATCAGGTAAGCGGAGGGTGGGGGTAGGGACTGGTCTCTGGGAAGGACTCATGATTGGGAGCCCTGAGCCACAAGTGAGGGGAGGGTGTGGGAGCCAGGACACCAAGCTCATCAGGGGGTGCTTTCTCAATTTGATGGAATGGGCTGCAATCCAGGTCTTCATTCACTTTTTTCAAGATATGCGTTTGGTCCTCAAAATTGTATATGTGTCTCAAACTATTCAATATAGTTAAAAATGTCAAGACCTCATTATAGAAAAGCAATGATAAAAAATCATCACTGTTATTTTATTATGAAGAGGAGGCAATAGGTAACCCTACTTACTTAAAATGAATAAAAGGAAACCAAATGTTAACAGCAGGTGAGCATTATTGCGAACACTATTAATGAATGTAATACCTGTGATGAGCCTTTGCAATACTAGATTCTCAACTCATGCTTATTGAAATGGCAGATAAACAATCAGAATAACAGGGGCTGTTTATTTGAGGCACAGTGCTACGGGTTCACACCGATATTCCATTTAATCCTCTCACCACCCCTGTAAGGGAGGTACTGTTATCTCTGATTTTATAGACAAGGAATCAGAGGCTCAGAGAGGTTAAGTGTCTTGCCCAAGGTCACACAGGAAGTAGGGGTAGAGTTGAGAGTCAAGGCAACTTGTTAATTCCACGGCTGAGGGCCTAACCACCAGGCCACCGGCTCCCAAGGCTCGGGGACCCTGGTGCCCAGGGTCACTGTGACCAGTGCCGAGGTGTGTGAGGCCCCCTGGCGCTGCCCAGTCGCTCAGTTTGGTGGTGATGGCCCGACAGCTGTACCCACACTCTCCCCCCTCCTCCCACAGTCTGCGCTCCTCAGACCACCGGCAGGTGAACAGCCTGATGCAGACGGAGGAGTGCCCGCCCGTGCTGGACGCCACGCAGCAGCAGCAGCAGGTGGTGGTCTCCGAGGGCCGGGCCTTCGACAACGAGCAGGACGGTGTCACCTACAGCTACTCCTTCTTCCACTTGTGTCTGGTGCTCGCCTCTGTCCACATCATGATGACGCTCACCAACTGGTACAGGTGCGTGTACGGAGCCTCAGCGCCCACGGTGTGTGAGCCACGTCCCTTCCCCTCCAGCCCTGTGCTGGGGCTTTCCTGGTGCCTGCTCGAGACTTGGGTGGTGAGGTGTCTCTCTAGGACCCTCCAGGGAGCCTGCCCCATCTCTGCCTCACTTTCCCTGTTAGTGCCCCATCTGCTCAGTAGCTAGTACCTTCGCTGAGGGCCTGAGAAGTGGGGCTCATGGGAGGCGAGGCTGGGTCCGGGCAGGGCAGACCAAGTTTGCAGATCAGGTGCAGTGTTTGGGGTTGTGGGACCACATTTGGGATTCATGGTTGGAGGGTTAGGAGCAGAGTGTAGGGTCAGAATCAAAGTCACAGGGTCAAAAACAGGGGTCATGAAGTTGAGAGTTGGGACTGGAGCCATATGAAGTCACAGATTTGGTCATTTGGTTAACATTGGAGTTTCAAGGCCAGAAAGCCAGCATTGAAGCGGTCAAGTCAAAGAGCGAAGGTCAGAGTAACAAGGTCAGAGGCCAGGACTCTGGGGACAGGGCCAGGGGTCAGAACGGAGGTCAGAGATACCAGAACTGTGGTCATAAACTCAGGTTTGGGATTATGAGATTGAGGTTCAGAGTCAAGACTAAAGTCAGATGCTTCAGGGTCCCAAAGTCAGAGACCAGGAGCAAGGTCACAGACTCAGGACCACAAGGTTAGTGACCAGAGTCAGGTCACAATATTACATCTAGGACTAGTGACTGAGGTCAGGATCAGGTCTACAGCACAAGGTCAAAAACTATTTAGGGTCTTAAGGCCTGAAGCTGATGCTCCAATTCTTTGGCCACCTGATGCGAAGAGCCTACTCATTGGAAAAGACCCTGATCCTGGGAAAGACTGAAGGCAAAAGGAAAAGGGGGCTGCAGAGGGTGAGATGGGTAGACAGCATCACCGACTCAACGGGCATGAGTTTGAGCAAACTCTGGGAGATAGTAGAGGACAGAGGAGGCCTGGCGTGCTGCGATCCATGGGTTTGTAGAGTCAGACTTAGCAACTAAATGGCAACCACAACAAGGCCAAGTGTCAAATATATCAGAGATAGGACTTGAGCTACAGGGTAAGAACCAGAGGTGAAGTCAGGGGTCACAACTGGATCCTAAGGTCGGGGCCAGGCTCACTGGGATGATGGTGTGTTCCAGACCCGGTGAGACCCGGAAGATGATCAGCACGTGGACCGCCGTGTGGGTGAAGATCTGCGCCAGCTGGACGGGGCTACTCCTCTATCTGTGGACCCTGGTAGCCCCCCTCCTCCTGCCCAACCGCGACTTCAGCTGAGGCAGCCCCCTGCAGCCGGTCCAACCTGGTGCCTCGGGGCTCGTGACAGCAGGCCGAGCCCCCGCCCCACCTCCAGGGCTTGCCCCTGAGCTGGGCCCCTCTGTTCTTAGTGCCTTCAGGGAGGATGAGCATCAGACTCCCCCCCTGCCACTGCCCCCAGCTCCCCACTCCAGAGCCGCCTCCTCCTTCCCCTTGCCCCTACTTGCCCACACTCACCCTCTTGTGAAACAAGGGCCCCTTGTTCTAAGGCTCCCCAGGAGAGGGTCTTGAAGGAGAGAAATACTGAGAGCCGCTGAGAGCGGAAGTGCTCACTGCAAGGGGGTGCCCAGCACTGAGGCCCCGATCTTCCTGACCACGCACCCCAGGACGGCCTACCTCCTTCCTGGACTTCGTGCCTTACTGAGTCTCTCAGACTCTGCCAATAAAGAAGCCAGCACGTGTGCCTCCCATGTCTGTGCCCCTTCCCCCTCAACATGGGCCCCTTCCTGATTGGGGACCACTCTGGCAGCTGGGAACAACGTCAGGGCCGAGGGGGCTGAGGGGTCAGACCACAGGGGACCTCAAAGGTCAGACAGAAGGCTCCTGGCTCTGCATCTGGGTCATGGAGAGCCTGAGGGTGGGGGCTATAAAGGAACGAGGGGCTTTGGGAAAAGGGAACCTTAGGGGGTCAGAAAAGGGGACCCTGGAGCAGTGTTAAGTGATGAGGCCAGTGTCAAGATGGGAGGGGTGGGTCATGTGGGTGGCTGAGAGGCTGGTCTTTGCCTCTCATCTTACCAGCGCCCACCCTGAGGTCTTCCAGGGTCTGCTGAAGCACTAGTCATCACGCTCCACTTCTTTCTGCTGTAGACTTGACACCTGCTCTGGACCCCAGGGTGCAGTGGGGAAGAGTATGTTCTCTGACGTTGGCCAAGCTGGCCTGGATCCGCTAAACTGCAAAAGCCATGGGGCTCCTGTGGGCTTGGGCAAGTCATTCCCCTGTAGGCCCTGGCTCCTCATTCAGCAGATGGAAAAGGCGGCTGTCAGGCTCAGAGGAAAGAGCCTGCTCATCTCTAAAGGCACATGGCCAAGTGCAGGGGGATGAAGAAGCTCCTGGCTGGGGGCCCCTGAGTCTGGTTCTTGCCCTTGTGATGTCCATCGCCAGGTCATTGGCCCCTTTCATTTGTGGGGATAACAGATAGATATTGATGTGCTGGGGTGGTTCATTGGGGGCTGGGATGTGGTGGCCAGGGACGCAGGCCAGTTCTAAGGAGCTGTAAGTCTATGGGGGCAGCATCAGTGCATGAGTGCCCCAAGCAGGTGAAGCCACGGCAGCTGTCAGGACAGCGGGAGTCGGCCGGATCAGGAGTGAAAATGCCCACGAGAGAGAGGACATGGTGTGTGAGCCAGAGAAGGAGAGCAAGGTGTTTGAAGACCAGTGAGAAAATAGGCTGGTGTGCTGAGAGCATGTGAGGGTCAGGAGCGGGTGTGGGCTTTGGAGAGATGGGCTGGGCTTGAGTTGCACAGGAGACCAGACAATGTTCTCAGGGTAGAGGCGAGCCATGGAGGGTTTCTGAGCAGAGATGAGGCGGTGAAGGTGTGAGCTGTTCAAGGGGTGGTGCTGGATGTTGCGGAGCAGAGCAGAGCAGTGACATCGTCAGATGGTTATTCTGGGAAGATTTTCCAGGATGAAATGGAGGGTGCAGCCGCTGGAGGCAGGTACCAAGGTCTGGGGCAGAGGCAGAGGGAGCCTGGAGTGGGGCAGGGGCTGAGGAAGCCTCTCACCCTTGAGACACGCCTTATGGATGCTTTTGTCCCTGGTAGCTTTCAGCTGAAGGAGACCCCTCTCCCTGGAGCAGCCTGGCCTTCCTCCCCACAACACAAGATATTTCATTTCTTTCCTTATTTCAGCTTCAGGAGAAAAAGCCCACATTGTGCTCCTGATAGCCTTTTTCAAGCGTTTGTCAAAGTGGGCACTTTTATCCTGCTTTTGTATCCCTGTTGCTCAATTACTCATTCAACAAACACATACTGAGCATGAGTTGTCCCAGGGTCTGGGCTGGGGTGGACCTGGCAGGGAAGGAGGCAGGAGTGAAGAGTCTGAATGTTGGTAAAGGAGTTCCAGGTCCCAGTTTGGCTCTGAGAAGCCACTTCTGATTCCCCCCAGGCAGGGAGGGCTTTCCCTCCGTGTTCCCTCAGCCCCTGCTCTCTCTGGGGAGACAGTGGTCTCGCTCCACTACCTGATGGTTGATGTGGTGTCAGGTCCGAGCCACGGCCTGCCCAGGGCTTGGAAGTCCACTCGGCCTATTGGCCTCTTTTCCGTATCCCCCTCATCCCCTGCTGCCCAGCACCGGGGCTTTCTCTCATCCTCCCTCCCCCATCTTTCCTACTTCTCCATCACCTCCTTCCTCAGGTCCTTCCTCTTTTTCTTCATATCCTCTCTCTCCCCTCTCACTCTCCTTTGTCACTTTGCCGGTCTGCGGGGCTGGGCTGGGCTTCCCTGCTGGTCTGCTCGTGAGGAGGTGGCTGCTCTCAACCCCCAGGGCCTATTGCTCTGTCCCTGGACACTTGTTGCCCAACACCTGGGCTGCGGTCCCTGCAGAGATACCAGCCGCAGCCTCAGCCAGCCTGCCCTGGAGCAACCTTGGGCCCAGTTTCAGAACAAATATCTGGGCAGAGCGGGGGCAGGGCTCACAGACCACAAGGGGAGACAGGCAGGGCGGTAGGCTGGGAAGGGCTCTGACTCCAGTTCTGTCTCCATGGCTGTCTCGTCACTATCTTACCGCCTGAACTCAGGCAACTCTGTTCTCTTTGGTCCTCGATTGCAGCTTCCGTAAAATGGCAGTAGTAGCTGTTTCGTAAACCACAAAACATGGTGCTTTCATGAGCCAAACGCTGTGGTTAACCAACAGACATTCCCAAAACCCTTCTCCCTTTCCTGTCTCCTCACAAAGGTGAGGAAAATCAACTGTCACTTTGCAGTACTTGAAAATACTGGCCTCCAGGTGGTGCTAGTAGTAAAGAACCAGCCTGCCAATGCAGGATATGTAAGAGACGCGGGTTTGATCCCTGGGTGGGGAAGATCTCCTAGAGAAGGACATAGTAACCCGCTCTAATATTCTTGCCTGAAGAATCCCATGGACAGAAGAGCCTGGTGGGCTACAGTCCATGAGGTCACAGAGTTGGACACGACTGAACTGACTTAGCATGCACACACGCACCTGAAAATATTCTGGCTAATTAGACCCAGGCTGGGTTTAGGCCAATGCCTCGACTTGCAGTGTGGAGGACAAAACTTAGGGGAGGATGTAACTCCTCTGGCTTTGTTTCTCTCATCAGTAATATAAGGGAGTAAGAGTAAACCACTGGACAGTTAAAACCTGTTCTCCTGCTTTGGCAGAATGGCCCTCAGAAGCTCTGGTCCAGGTCCTCACAGAAGAAATGCTTGTGACGGCTTCTTTGATAATGCCTCCTTCTTCTGGTCTTGAGGGTCTGTTGCTTCTCCAGCTGTGTGTGCCCCATCATACATGTGCACACATGCACACAAGCATGCACACACATGTACACATGTAACCGACAGGCACAAATGCACACATATGCAAACAAATACACAGTACACATACATGCACGGACACATATGCATGCACACAGTGATGCATACAATGGACTGTCACTCAATATCCATTCACCCTTCCTCTCTGGCCCTGCTCTAGTGTGGGAGCTAGAAAGCTGAAAACACGTTTCCCAGACTCCCTTTCTCTTAAAACTAGAGTTCTGGGTGTGACTTAGCTTCAGCCAATTGGAGGCGCTTACATGACCTTTGGAAGGTGGAAGTGAGTTTCTGCAGACAAGCATTGTCTACAGATGTTGGTTTTTTTCTGTGGCTGTTTCCAGCTTGTGGGCACCAGGTTTCAAGACAGGGCTGGGCAGTGCTGCTGGCCGTGGGTCAACTAGTGGTGCCAATGCGTGGTGACAGGCATGGCGTGACTCTTCAGTGGTGACTGCAGGGGCTCCCTGATCCTGCTGCCTTCAGCAGGGGTACACAGCAAGGGCAGCTCTCTTGGTAACCTGGTTCCATGGTGTGATTTTGGGAGTCAGTCCTGAAAGCTCAATCTGAAATTTGTTTATTTCAGGTCTCTTATTTAGGGCTTTTCTTGTGGCTCAGATGGTGAAGAATCTGCCAGTAGTGAAGGAGACTTGGGTTTGATCTTTGGGTGGGGAGGATCCCCTGGAGAAGGGAATGGCAACCCACTCCAGTATTCTTGCCTGGAGAATTCCATGGACAGAGGAGCGTGGCAGGCTACAGTTCATGGGTCGCCAAGAGTCAGACACGACTGAGCAGCTATCAATTTCACTTTCAGTTTCCTGATTATTTATAATATATAACACTCTGTAATAGATTCTTTTCAGTTTAAACTAGCTAGAATATTTACTTTCTGATCTCTGTACCTAAATCTTTCAGGTCTTGGCTCAAAGGTCCTGACCCCCGGGTTAGACTGGGTCCTCTGTTAGGTGCTTCTCATTCTCCAGTGACACTTGACATCTGACTAATGTCTGCTCCCTCAGCCTGGATGAGTTCACTTCCTCTCAATGGATTTAATGGCTCTGTTCTTGGTGCTGGAGATAGCAGCCCTTCACATTGTGGGAATGAATAAAGGAAACCTCACGGCTTGGAGGGCTTCCCTGGTGTCTCAGCAGTCAAGAATATGCCTGCAATGCAGGAGGTGCAGGAGCTGCGTGTTCAGTCCCTGGGTCAGAAAGATCCCCTGGAGGAGAGCATGGCAACCCACTCCAGTGTTCTTGCCTGGAGAATCCCATGGACAGAGGAGCCTGGAAGGCTGCAGTCCATGGGGTCGCACAGAGTCGGACACTGAAGTGACTTAGCACTGCACAGCACGGCTTGGAGTTGGGAGGCCAGAAGGGGGAGCTCTCACAGTACCAATCCAGGTCAATTACAGAACACTCTTCAATAGGGAAGCATCATCAATTACAGGCCCCAACAGGAAAAGACGTACATTGCGTCT